AGAATGCTCAACACGAGCCAGTAAGGAAATACAAAGCCAAACAAAAAAACAAAAGCCCCACGTGATTCCACTACACAGCCAGGAGAAGAACCGAAACGAGAAAGACGGGGCACATGGGACAGTCCTGCTCACAGGTTGCTGGCGGGAATGCGGAGGTGACCAACTACTTTCAGAGAAGTGTGTGGTCTGTAACCCCAGCTCTCAGAAGGCAGAGGGTCAGTGCTGCGCTAAATGGTGAGACCTGGTCCCAACCTTCCTACCACCCTGAAAAAAAGTTTGGCAACTTTAAACCTTGCAAAAATGTGATGGGTTAAGATCTGTATCTTTGTTTTAACTATTCAAACAACATGGATATATAGTAATACTTAATGTCTTCATTATATTAATAAAAAAACTTAGAAGTCCAAACCAAAAGTTATCACCACTAGAAGCAGACATTAGCCAGTAACTAGACTCTTAGGTACTACCCAAAAGAAATGGAACAACTATCTCTCCACAAAGCATTGTGCACATACTTGGACTGTTACCAAAAGACAACCACAATTATTAAAGTTTGGAAAAGTTAAGTCTTAAAACATACCAACTAAATTGATCAAAACTTAAGCTATCAAGTGCCAGTAAAATCCAGACTAAAGTTCTTTCCCAGATTAAAGCTGTTTTCTACACTGTGTACAGTTGGTCAAGGAAAATCATTCTTCCCAACTGATCAAGTTCCTCATTTGTAAAAGGGGAAATGATTTATACACCATGCTCCTATAAGAATTCTATGAGCTAACACCTGTAAAAGCACTGGAAGACATGTGTCTTAAGCATTAATCACTGTACTTTTATAACTAATTCTTCCCACTCAGAAGCAATTACTGGATTGAATATCTGACATATTGTGGGCTCTCAGGGTTTTCTAGATGTGTTTATCTGCTAGAGCAGATCATCTCATCACAGACTTAACATCTTTGTTTTTATGGGGTTGTTGGTTTCAGACAGGGACCCTCAACTGAGAAAGTGCTTCCATAAGATCCAGCTGTAAGGCATTTTCTTAATTAGTGATTGATGGGGGTTGGGGGGGGGGGAACCAGGCCATTGTGGGTGGGGCCATCCCTGGGCTAGTGGTCCTGGGCTCTTTAAGAAAGTAAGGTGAGCAAGCCATGAGGAGCAAGCCAGTAAGCAGCTCCCATCCATGGCCTCTGTATCGCTCCTGCCTCCAGGTTCCTGCCCTGTTGGAGTTCCGGCCCTCACTACTTTTGATGATGAACTGTTATACAGAACTGTGAGCAAAATAAACCTTTTTTCCCCAAGCTGTTTTTGGTCATGGTGTTTCATCACCTCAATAGTAACCCTAACTAAGAAAACCATCTTCTGGTAAAAAGATTTACAAGTAGTTAAGAGCATTCACTACGATTTCAGAGGGCCTAAGTTCAGTTACCAGTACCCACACCAGGCAGCTCCAGCTCCAGGGAATCCAGACAACACCCCCCTCTTGACCTCTGCAGGTACTCCACTCACATGCACATACCCACATACAGTCACACACACAAATAAATCAGTCTTGAAAAGTCATAAAAAGATGTATGTAGATACTGTTAGGTAAAAGGTTGATGGAGAACAGGATGTTTGCAGGGTGCCAAACATAGCATTTCTGTTTGACTCAGTCAAAGAGGAAAAGCTGCAACTTCCAATAAAGTGCCACTCGATCCTACAACTCAATCCCATGTCCCCACTAGTAGGACAATAAGAAATTAAGTGAATCCTCATGTGTGGTGGGACATGTTGCAATCCACCGCCTCTATAAAAAACTACTTTTCAAAAATAGTCCCAATTAATGTGATTAAATCTTGATGTTTCTCCAATTTTACAGGAAATACAAAGGTGAAGGAACTAAACAATGCATGGAGGAATCCAAGTGCCAACACTGTTAGGACACGGAGCCAGTTTACGGGAAGGTCAAAGGCACACGGGACAAGAACAAACAGATCCTTCTTCGGGACTGAAGATGTAAGAGCATAACAACCAAATTATTTGACTTCAACAAGCCTACCAAATAAAGACCTGGGGCTGGGATGCAGCTCAGCGGTAGAGGTCTTCCCTAGCATGCCGAAGATTCTGGGTTCAATCCTCAATACGACATAAACTGGGCAGGTGGTACCCACATGGCATCCTGGCACTCATGAGGTGAAAGCAGAAGGATCATGAACTCAAGGTCTTCATCTCAGATTACACAGTTTGAAGCCAGCCTGAGTTACTCGGGACTCTGGCCCCAAACCAAGATGGGCTGAACAAGCCTAGTCTCAAAAGATAATTCATAAAGTTATATTAAAAGCTGACAAGAGGGGGCTGGGATTGAGCTCAGTGGTAGAGCACTTGCCTAGCAAGCGCGAGGCCCTGGGTTCGGTCCTCAGCTCTGAGATGAGAAGAGAGGAAAAACAAACAAACAAGTGTGCCACAGCTAGTGTAATTATGATAGACAGGGTCTAAAGGTAGTTTTAAAAACTACAAGATAACTAAACCATAGTCCCTTTTCCCCTTATCCATGGATATTACATGCCAAGACTTCAGTGGATTCCGACAACCATAAATAGTACTGTCTTCTTTTTTAAAGATTTATTTATTTATTATGTTCTGCCTGCATGTATGTATGTATGTATGTATGTATGTATGTATTACGTTATGTCCGCCAGAAGAGGGCACCAGGTCTTATTATAGATGGTTGTGAGCCACTATGTGGTTGCTGGGAACTGAATCCAGGACCTCTGGAAGAGCAGCAGCCAGTGCTCTTAATTTCTGAACCATCTCTCCAGCCCCACTAGTACTAAGTCTTATACAGACACACCTAATAATGTGTAGTTTGTAAGTGGGTACCATAAAAGATTAACAATAAACAAGACAATAACTACACCAATATACTGAAGTAGAACTTATAGCAATACCCCTCCCATGCTATGGCGGGGATGTTGCATCAAGCAGAATACCCTGAACAAAGGGATGAGTCACATTCCTGGGAGGACAGAGCAGGGTCTTGGACAACAGTTCATCACAATACTCAGAACTGAGTGCAACTTAAAACTGGAATTGCCCATTTAACAATTTCAAACCATTATTCAGAGCAGATAACTGAAACCACCCAAAATAAAAAATAGATCAATAAATTCAAGTTCTTAAGTCTTAAAAGCAAAAGCTCTTCCACGGCAGCTAAGGAGTGCCACGGGGAACCTGAGAATACACAATAAAACCTGGCGCAAAGCTACACAGAGAAACCCTGTCTCGAAAAACCAAAAAAAAAAAAAAAAAAAAAAAAAAAAAAAAAAAAAAAAACTAATTGACTACCAGAACCTTCCATAAACTAGAAAGTGCAATCCGTGGGCTTGTGGGAGTCTCTAACACCCTTTTATAGGGTCTGCAAGGCCAAAGCCAGTTTCATAATACTACAATATTAGTCACCAAATTCTTGCTGCCATATACTCATGGAAAAAGAATGTGTTTTGTTGACAAACTTCTTCAAAGAAGCACTGAAACTATTAATCTTGAACCTTTTATACAAATAGGTATAAATGTTCTGTATGATAAAATGAGAAATGTATAAAGCACTACCATGTAGTATATTTTTTAATACAAATTTCAAAGCAGATCAGTTTTAATTTAGTAAAGTGCAGAAAGTTCACAAATGCATTTTCCAATTCCATTTTGCAGCCAACATTTAAGAGAACTATTCATCAGGTTTTGCTGGACAACACAGAAGAATGCCTGATTTGATATGTGTATATGGTTGTATGTCCATATTTTATTCATATACTTTAAATTATCATATCATAACACACTGACTATATAGAAGCAAAAATAAAAACACAGAGGTCTTTTTATTAAGGTAAACATTAAAAGTCTTACAAAAATACTAAAGAGTAAGGAAATGGGCATCGTTTTTAATAAAAAAAAATATTATTCATGATCCAGCAATTCCAAATACTCAAATGAAGGACATCAGTATTCAAGTAATATTTGCAATCAATATTTACTGAAGTCACAGTAGCCATGATATAGAATCAACCTACGTGCTCATGAATGGATAAATAAAATGTGAAACGTGTGTGATGTTCAGCCACAGAAAACTCTTATCACTCATAGCAACACAACGAGAACTGAAGATACTGTATTAGACGAAGTGAGCAGGCACAAACTCAAGCACCCAGAGGCCGGGAGCTAAAGAATCAGGGCCGTGGGAGCTAAGAGAACTGGTCTTATGGAAGTGGGTGTAAAATGGTAGTTATAAACTACTGGAAATGGAGAGAGATGGGGCGTGGGGTAGAGAAAGAACGGCTGCACTCACCAGCTGCAAGCGTGTCAAATCACTTCCCTGTTTCTGCAGACAGGTTATCACTGTGCAGCCTGGCCTGGCCTTGAACTCACACTGCTCTTACCTCTGCACCCTGACTGTTATGATCATGAGTGTGTACTCCTATACAGCAACAGGGGTGACTTTAAATGTTCTGTGACACAGGGCAGTGACTGTAGATGACCATAATTAATCATGTATCTCAAAACAGCCAGTAGTGCGGATTTTGAAAATTTCAAACACAAAAGTACATGAAGTGATGTTAAACAAAAATTCATTAATATTAAAATGTATTATTTTAATTCAATTAATAATAATTTTCTAATTCCATAGGGTTAATTTATATTACAGTAAACATCAGCAAATGTAATTCACATAAACAGAACCTCTTCAAAATTTTAAGTATTTTTCTCTGGATGTAAGGAGGCCATAAGACCAAAAAGTGAAAGAATACCTGGTTTACAAGAATGAAACAACAAAATACACTGGTAAATCTAAGAGCAGTCAAGTAACTAGAAAGGAAGGTGTATTCTAAGGCCATTGCAAATGATACAAGCAAAATAAACAACAACAACAACAACCACCCATCTGCATAAATCCAGGTAGCAATGTGCTGTGGTACAACCGTGTCAGCCTTCCGCAAACAAACAAGAACTCCAAGCCTGCGGCCTCTTACCCTGACTGTGAAGACTGGCAGGACTGAGGGACGGCTGGTGCGGCTCTTTAGTTGGTGTTGGATAAGCTTCTTTCCCTTGGCGCTGACTCATCTTTCCTGGGGTCAAAAGCTGAGATTCGTCACTATTCGCTACAACAGCTCAAGGAAAGAAAAGAAAAGTAATTACCAGTAAAGTCATGGGTTTTATGACATAATTAATAACTGGGACTAAAACTGAAATTCTCTTATGATTATAGTAATCTTACTACTTTTTTTTTCTTTTATTTTTTTTTGGTTTTTCGAGACAGGGTTTCTCTGTGTAGCTTTGCGCCTTTCCTGGAACTCACTCGGTAGTCCAGGCTGGCCTCGAACTCACAGAGATCCGCCTGGCTCTGCCTCCCGAGTGCTGGGATTAAAGGCGTGCGCCACCACCGCCCGGCGTAATCTTACTACTTTAATAAGTTTGCGTAATCATTCTGTTTTTATGTTCATTACCATAAATCCAAGAGGGACAGACAGCTAAGTCTCAGTTTACACATTACAGACACTGTACATATCCACCTGGTAGGGCCCCTATGGTTTACTGTGTATCTTTCACAGGGTAACGTAACTCCTCATTATCTGCCAATGCAACAGGGAAAAGACAAGTCATTTCAGAGAAGAGTCACAAATGGAAAGATATATAGCTGTATGAATGATCAGAAAGTACAAATCAGCAGAGGAGAAAACCAAACTGTGCATTCAACTGAATTTCTACTCTGGTTTCTAATTTTTGATGGCAAGATTTCAGTTTCAGAGACTTGGATAGAGACTGCCTTCCCCAAGACTAAACAGGAAATAACAGGCGAGATTCACTCTCGCACTAGGTCCCAAAATCTGTCTTCAAAAGGCTGCTGGGTAGGGAGCAGCACCTGTTGCTGTTGGAGGGGACCCTGGTTTAGTGCCCAGCTCCCACAAGGTAGTTCATAGCCATCCATAACTTCAGGTTTAGGGGATCCAATGCTCTCTCTAGACCTCTGAGGTCACCAAGGCATACATATGGCACACACACATACCTACAGGCAAAACACTGACACAAAAATGTCTTTAAAAAACATGTTTAAAAAACAAAACAACGGGGCTGGAGAGGTGGCTCAGAGGTTAAGAGCACTGACTGCTCCTCCAGAGGTCCTGAGTTCAATTCCCAGCAACCACATGGTGGTTCACAACCATCTATAATGAGATCTGGCGCCCTCTTCTGACCTGCGATCATACATGCTGTGTACATAATAAATAAATAAATCTTTTTTTAAAAAAAAAACAAAGCCGGGCGGTGGTGGCGCACGCCTTTAATCCCAGCACTCGGGAGGCAGAGCCAGGGGGATCTCTGTGAGTTCGAGGCCAGCCTGGGCTACCAAGTGAGTCCCAGGAAAGGCGCAAAGCTACACAGAGAAACCCTGTCTCAAAAAACCAAAAAAAAAAAAAAAAAAAAAAAAAAAAAAAAAAAAAAAAAAAAAAAAAAAAAAAAAAAACAACAAACAAAAACACCGCCATCCCAACTATCAGTTCGTAGAGAACTGTGCACTGCTTCTCGCCCTCCTGGTCACGCTACCAATACAAAGGAATAACACAAAAGGATGAAAAGAAATTTAAAATGAAAACAATGAGGGAATGGAGCAAATCAAATCCACAGTCCCTATTACTTCCACATTTTTTCATGTTTCTGTGCTCACGAGATAGTTTAGTTTCATCTTAAAAATTTGGTCTTCACTTAAATTAACTAGAACCTCTCATTAATATTTTCACCACTGTATCTTTTAAAAATCAAATAGTTTCACATATTTCCTATTGTGCTAAAGTTTTCAAAATTCTATTTTGGCTCCTTATATTTCAAAGCCAAAATACTAAGTACTCATTTATTATCCAAGTAAAGGTATGAAAAACATTTACCATAAAGTTAAAACAAATAAAAACCTATGGACAGGTAGCCCCTAGATTTATATCTCCACTTATAATATCTCCCGTATCCAACTGCCAGGCTGTGGAAAGAGAAACTGAAAATGAAAAGAGAATGGAAAAAGAAAATGAAAACAATACCCATTGCTAAAGTCAACAGGCATCATGGACGGACCTGGAGCACAGCCTTGGCTCTGCTTCTGGTACCCGTCTCTCCTCTGTCTCACTGCTCTTCTGTCCCCACTTTCCCAGGGCAAATGCAGAGATGTTCCATGGAATACTTAGACTCTCCTTCAGACGTATCTGGAATGCTATGACCTCTCCCCACTTCCACAATTCCTACCCTGGGCTGACCATGTTGCCCTTCGCTGTGTGGAGTTCATTTTTCACCCAAAGGTATAAAGAGTCATTATAATTTGAGTTACTAAACCAGATGCACATCAAATGGAAGTATTCTTAATAGCTTTCTATTTTATACAGTGCCTGGTGCCACAAGCATGTAATCCCAGCTACTGGGAAGACTGAGTCTCTCTGCTGGCCCAGGCTACAGAGTGCTGAAGTGCATTGTTTCAGCTCGTCACTATAGCTTGGATGGAGTGGTGGTGCTATCTTAGTGCAGGGCCCTGGGTTTAATCTCTAGTAAAAAGAAGAAAGTGGGGGGGGGGGGGGGGAGGGAAGCAAAGGGGGAAGAGGAGGAGGAGGGAGGGAGAAAGAGAGAACTCAGAAGAGCAAGCTTACTTTCCTTTCTTCATAAACGCATTGCCTCAAGAGCCAAAGGGTCTGGCATCTTTTTATCTTTTCAGTTTCCACTTGGCTCCTGCGATAAGGGCTACCTTAGTATTCCTCAAAAACGTCACCTTGCAGTTTTCTGAGCCGTTCTATTTCTTTTTTAAGATTTATGTTTTACTGTGTGTTGTATCGATGTGAGTGTATGCCACCCGTGTGTTGGTGCCTATGGAGGCCAGAAAAGGATGTCAGATCCCTCTATCATAGTAGTTCTCAGCCTTCCTAATGCTGTGACCCTTTAATACAGTTCTTCATGGTGTGCTGACCCCCCCTCCCAAGCATAACTTTATTTCATTGCTACTTCATAACTGTAATTTTGCTACTATTATGAATCATAATATAAATATCTGATATGCAGGCTATCTGATATACAACCCCCAGAGAAGTAACGACCCCCAGGTTGAGAACTGCGGCTCTAGAGCTGGAGTTACAGGGGGTTGTAAGCCAGTCATTGGTGGTGCTGAGAACAGAACTCAGCCTCGGGAAGAAAAGCTCTCTTAAGGCCCCTGGGGCCTCTTTCTTGTTCCTTCTATCTGGAATACTCTGGGCCCAGACTTTTACTTCCTGTTTCCTCTTGCTCACTGTCTGTACTCAAATACTATCTGTTGGGAAAGGTCTTTCGGTGTCTTCTTGGTGCTTTCTCCTCAACAGGTCTTGGTTTAACAGAGCTCAGTTCATCAATCTCTCCATTAGTGTCCACCCATCTCAAGCTATTGTCTGTCACATTACTTCCACAGTAGCTCGTATCACCATCAGGACTATGTAACTACTGCCTCTTCTCCACTAGAACTTCAATTTCAGGAGTGCAAGGCTTTTGTCTGCCTCATTTCCCCATAAATGCTTAATCCTGATCTGCTTCCTGACATACTAAAGATATTGCTTCCTGTTAATAAAATTTCACTTAAAAAAGTCAATCAAACTAGCTTTCTATTTTTATAAAGTTTCATTATCACAAAGTATATATTCTGGCTCCTCCAGCTATCTGATTCATTTGATTGATTAAAAAATAGATAACAGATTTATAATTAATAGCTGGAATGCACAAACTCGAACTCATTGAAATACCATTCCAGAAAAACAGTAACAGATCCTTTCAGATGTGTAGTCCAGATACTAACAGGAAAAAGACAAGGCACTAGGACAACTGATTAGGTGAACCAGACACACAGATTCCATCCTTCCTCATAACACACTCGAGCAATAGTCCCATGAAAATTAAAGAAACCAATGAAAAAACAAACTTGAAAACTTTCAAAATGTAAGAGAGTATTTTTATAGATTTGGGGTAGGCAATGATCCCTATATAAATATGTAATAGCACTAATAAAAAAGGAATTGATAAATACTATCACTCCAACATCAAAATTATGAATCCAGTCATCAGATAATCCCATAAAGAAGCTGAAGAAACACTGAACAGGATAAATTATTCACAGCCACACAGTTAACAGAGGTTGTATCTAAAGTGCTTTAAATCTACAGCTCCTATATATCAATTAGAAAAGACCAACAGCATCATAGAAAAACAGAAGGAAGAACTGAACAGTATTTCACAGAAAATGTACATGTCCAAAAAGTTCATGAAAAATATTCTTTCTGCTTAATAATCAGGGAGGTAGAAATCAGTTTCATAGCATGATATTTTATAGTAATCAGAATTGAAAAAGTTAATAAATTGGTAATATCAAATAAGGAAGCTGGGATCATTAAGATCTCGGGCGCTGGAGGAGTATAAATTGATACTAGCACTTTGGAGACCAACTTGGGACTAGCACACACTTGATGAATGCAACATGATCTGTTCTTATACCTAGAAAAACTCTTATGTGTTCTAAGAGACAAGAATAAGCAGTTTCAAACAACACTGTCCAGAGAACAAATAAACTAAGGCCCTCGAACAGCTTAAATTCTCACCAATTAAAAACCAAATGGAGTGGGGTAAGGAGCGCTGGAGAAGCAGCTCAGTCGATAAAGCACTAACCGCTGCTCTTCGATGACCTGGCCTAGACTCCCCTGCACACACGACAACTCACGACCATCTGCGACTCCAGTTCTGGGGGTACACCAGCCCCCATCTGACCTCTGCGGGCACCAGGTGCGCAGACACACATACAGGCAAAGCACACATAAAAGAAAGCAGCACTAATAACCCTAAAACTACAAAACGTGGTATGCTCTAGCCAAGTGTGTGATGTACATCGTTACTCCCCGTACCAGGAGGGCACAGGCAGGAAGATCGCTGTTCTTTAAGAGCACTATTCCCCACAGCAGCTTCGAGCTACAAGGCCAGCCAGTGCTACAGAGTAAGACTCTGTCTCATAAAAATAAAACAACGAACGGGTTAATAAATTGTGTCACAAGCATAAGCTAAAACAGTATATGGTACCTATTTCTGGATCAAACAGCCCAGATGAATCACAGAAATACATCAACTACAAAGAGCAAGTTCTCAATATATTGCACACACTATGATACAGTCCTTTAAAAAACAGGGTTGGCAGGGCACTTGCCTAGCATGACAGAGGTGCCCTGGATCCAATCTCGCCTATTATAAAAGAAACAAGTAAGAAATCAAAACCCAGCAAAACTTAGGGATACAGGGACCAGAGAGATGACTCAATGGGGTAAAGGCACTTGGACCCAACCCACGTTCAGGACTCACACAGTGGAACAAGAGAACCGACTCCCACAGTTGTCCTCTGACCACACATACACACACACACACACACACACACACACACACACACACACACACACATGATAAATGCTAGATTAAAAACCTTAGAGATACATATATAATTTAAAATCTTTAAACCTGAAAAAGCAATCCTTTTTAAGCAAAAATTAAAACTAAGAAAGATAAATAAATAATAAATAGTCATCACGTGTGAGGAAGGCCACAAGGTAGAGAAAGGGAATAGATTAAAGCATGCTTTAGCATTTCATCAGTAATGCACAGATATGTGTCTTAAATAGTAGCTCTACTACATAGGAAACAGCTCAGCTCACCTCTTCCCAATCCAGTGCTCATGTGATTTTTTTGGAGACAGGATCTCATCACAGAACCCAAACTGGACAGAACTCACATACTCCTGCCTGTCTGCCTCCCTGATGCTGGAATTACAGACCTGTGTCGTCATGCCCAGCTCTCAAGTAATAATCTCTTTCTTCAGAGTGCCTGACAGCAAGACAGAAAGCCTATCTTCCTATTTGTTTCGTCTCAACCCATTCACAAACATGAACCATTTCCAGATGAAGGAAGCTCTTCGTAACACAGCTCATTCAATGTCCTGCAGCAGGTGCACAACAGTGGACTCTCTGAACGGAAGCTTAAGAAGCACCAGGACTTTGTTTTTGTGTGTATCCACTGACACAACTGATCAATATTTGCTGAGCAACTGAAAAGCTACTTGGCAGTTTCTGACAAGTGATTCACCTGATAATGGTGACGTTACAGTGCCCTCTGCTGGTTCCACTTATAGTGCAAGTAGCCTACTTCGCATCTCCGATTACTTAACAGAAATCACACTGGAATAATTAATACTGTGTTTACTGTACCATGTGTGAATCTATCACCTTCCTTAGTTCCTGAAGTCAACTCAAACATTTCAAGAATTTTGAAAATTCTGGTGTTTTCCCGTAGGGTACATGGAAACCAAGATAAGAATCCTAAGTAACCTGCATGTCAACCTGACTCCCCTTAACGTTTATGAGGTCTTTCTTTTCTAAAATTATGGTAGTGATAGGATGCAGTAATATCTGTAGAGGGTTTTTAAGATTTAAAAATATTCTTGGCAAAATAAAAAAAATGGGTAAAAAAAGATTTATGCTCTACTTTTAAATTTTCTATTATCTGATAATATTGCTGTGTAATATGCAACATAGTTTAGATAGTTAAGGACTGTTGCAATTTTTAAAAATTAGTGTATTACTTTAAATTATCATTTTATAAAGGAAATTAAATATGCTTTCTAACCAGTATTTGAGAAAAAACTACCATAGACTAAAAATTATATATAGATTCCACTTTTTATTAAAATATCTTAATTCTGGAAAAGAATGGGTTTCATTATGACATAATGTATGTAATCATATTCAAGCCACCAATTACCCTGTCTGTAGAATACCAACAACAAAAAGAACCTCATTAGGAAGAACTCTTGAATTACCTTGCACAGTCCCTTTCTTTGAACCCCAAAGCACAGGGATGGCTTGCAACAGTGAGGTGACTTTTGGACAGAAATACTAAAACTTGTAAATCAGTTTCCTATGTTGCTACTCAACAAAAATCAGAACCTCTATCCAATTTACGATCGAATGAAGCTTTAATGATTTTGACAGACCAGCTTTCAACCAACCACATTTGGCTCTCACTATGTTTTAGTGGCAGTAACAGTGGTACATAGTGGATGAGCAGCCAACGTAGCTTCCCGGATGTGTAAGCTTTAGCTTCAGTCTCTTCGTTGGTGAAATTAGCATTTTATTAACTGATCTAGGAGGCTCTTTGCAGTTCAGAGCTGCTATGATTTTTAATGGAACAGCTGCTTCTGTCCCGTTTAGACTAAAACAATCCTGCAGTGTCAAGTTTTATCTGTTGCACTTACTCAAAAGCTACCACGATGTGCAACCCTATTCAGAAAATGAAAACAAAACCAGAAAAATGTGTTACAGTAGACTGAATACAATTTTATTTTAAAGGATAATCTTCTAGATCTCTAAGATAAAACATATTTTCAAAAAACAAACAAAAATTCACAAATTATATTACAATTCTACAAACTAAACACTATTTCTCAGTTTGACGAGGCAGTGAGTTCCTTATATGATCTCTTTATGCCTGTGATGATTGTACAAGAGTCTTAGAAGAAGGAGGCCCTAAATAATGAATCATTCTCTAGATCAGTGGTTCTCAACCTTCCTAATACTGTGATTCTTCAATACAGTTCCTCATGTTGTGGTGACCCCCCCCAACCATAAAATTATTTTTGTTGCTGCTTCATAACTGTAGTTTTGTTACTGCTATGAATCAGAATGTAAACATCTGTGTTTTCTGATGGCCTTAGGTAACCCCTGTGAAAGGTCATTTGACCCCAGAGGGGTCACAACCCATAGGTTGAGAACCACAGCTCTAGATGCCTGTGATGTCAGTACAGATTCTGTCCATGTGGACAAGAGCAACAGACGAACAGCGGGCATTGAGCAGCATCCCTACAATCAAAATTGAAATGTTATTTGTCATTTATAAGTAACACCAAAATATTAGCATGTCCTCACAACATGACATGCCAACGTTAGCTACTTACTTGATGGCCCAAGGACATCTTTGCTATCACCAAGAAGCTTTGAATGCAGAAGGATTGAGCGGCAAACACACACAATCCAAACCAGGAAGAAGCAGACACCGGACGGAAGCAGCGGTGAGACAAAAGGACAAGAGGAACAGCGTTAGTCTGTGAGCAGGAAGCGCATGCACATTAGTGTCAATCGTCGTCGTCGTAATTTAAGACATTTCCTTCTCTACACCCAAAGACTCTTGGCTTAGGCAATACCAAATACTTGTTTTAACTTGGGGAAGTGAAGAGAAAACGGAATCACCAAAGTGTGTTGCTTTGCAATGACTCCAGTTAAAAGTTCCTTTGATTCCAGCCGGGCGGTGGTGGCGCACGCCTTTAATCCCAGCACTCGGGAGGCAGAGGCAGGCGGATCTTTGTGAGTTCGAGGCCAGCCTGGTCTCCAAAGCGAGTTCCAGGAAAGGCGCAAAGCTACACAGAGAAACCCTGTCTCGAAAAAAAAAAAAAAAAAAGTTCCTTTGATTCCAAACAAGGTAGGAATTAGCGGTAAAGCTTGTTCAGAAAACTAAGAGCACTGAGCATTCATCCTTTTAAATTTAAAGCTTTAAAACTACTTACCATCCATACTCTACTAAACTTTAGCTATAATGCCATCAGAGCACTCTCTACAGAGATTAGTCTTATACAAAAAAGCAGAATCTTTACTTGGTGCTTATTATATGGCAAGTATGATGCAAACAGTTTCTACAAAGACAACAACAAAAGACATCATTTTTAACCAAACAGCAAAAATAAAAAGGAAAGAGAAACAGTTATTGTCAGATAAATTCCTCAAGGATAAGTTTTGAGTCAGACATAATTTTCCTAGGACTTGCAGAATCTAGAGCTACTCGTCCTTCAAGAAGTCAGAGGACATTCCATACCTCCCAACCCCAACACAACCTCACTAAGTAACCTAGGCTGGCCTCAATCCCACAGTCCTCCTCCAACCTCCCATGTTCTACCGTACCAAGCCCCAGATTCAGTTCTTTAATGAAGAAGTTAAAATGAACATCAACAGAGAAAGGCTGCAGACCTCTATCTGGAAACGCTTTTTTTTTTTTTTTTTTTTGGTTTTTCGAGACAGGGTTTCTCTGTGTAGCTTTGCGCCTTTCCTGTATCTCGATCTGTAGAACAGGCTGGCCTCGAACTCACAGAGATCCGCCTGCCTCTGCCTCCCGAGTGCTGGGATTAAAGGCGTGCGCCACCACCGCCTGGCTGGAAACGCTTTTAACCTACAGTATCACCGCCTCCCTCAGTGGGCACACAGCTCTCAGCTACCCTGCACTTCACACACCAAACTGAAAACTTCCCACTGATTACATTGTTTCTGGGCACAGTGACTGAACAAGGTGAGCTGTTTGCTTCAGGCTTCGGTCATCTCCTTGGAGAAATTCTCCTACCTGTCACTTTCCTAAAGTGATAGCTATTGAGCAATTCTGGATATCATGTTCCAGTGTCTATTTTTCTTCAGATGCCAATCCATGCTTATTCTTCTATGAACCGATTTCAGTTTCACAGAATACAGCTCTGCTGACAATGAACTCATTGTGCTCAGGTCCTTATTAAAACAGCAAGCTTGAGGGAGGAGATTAAAAGGGGTGAAGGATTAAAGTATTTGTGAATCAGGGATGGAGACCTGGCTCAGCTGTAGAGAGCACCTGAGTCCACAACCACCTATAACTCCAGCTCCAGAGAATTCACCTCTGGACTCTGCAGACACCTGCATTCACACATGCACAGACCCACAAAAAAGGCACACACACAAACACGTAATTTACATAAAAAATAAATCTTAAAAATTAAAAAAGCAAAAATATGTGTGAAGATGATCTAAAATGGCAGCCAGTGGTCCTTATTCCCCGGTGGACAATCCCTTTTCTCCCAGACTGTGCAGAACTGCTGCATTTCCTCTTGTTAGCTTTGCTTTGGGGGCAGGAGGCATAGGCTTGGTTTTAACACAGTGCCCAGGCTGTTCTGAAACCCTTCATCTTTCTGCCTCAGCTCCTAGACGGTAAGCAGGTACCACCATGCTTCGCTCTCTCCTCATAAAGAGAAAATGGCAAAAGGTTGGTGGCCTCTTGAGATCAGGTCTTGGTTCCAGTACTCTCTCATGGTCAGTCTCTAAGATGGCCCTCCTCTCGGTAGCCTTGCAGAGAGGCCTACCAGGCAAACGCTGAGGTGAGGCACAAAATGAAGATGAAAAGGATCTCTCCTCTCCAGCCAATCAAGTTTTCAGTGGAGTTAACAGTAGAATTCTCCCCCTAATCCTAACTGCAACTAACTGCTCTTGGATTCCTGAGTCATAAAGTTTGAAAGAAATGCTCTGTTTAATATGACTTAATTCTGGGATCACTTATGAGACAATAAATCTATAAATAACACTGGAAAACTGTAAAAAGCCAGGAAGCTGACAGAGACAAGTACAGCCAACTTTAAAAATGCTTCAAATGTATCATCCATGTTTAAAAATCTTCCTGCAATGAGAAATTTAGAGAAAATCTGTATTTATTTGTTTTAAAATGACCCCCTCCAAAAAATTCTAAAACAAACGAAAGGAAATACAGCAGTGTGCATACTCTGGGAGAGAATGGGGTTGTTCACCAGGGAATAAGACCAACCAGTGGGTGTCATTTTGGATTATCACAAATATTTTTCTCTTTCTAATTTCTTAGATTTTTTTTTACTATTATTTATTTTCCCCTAGATTTACCAGTAACTTCACAAAGGAAAACTGTAGTTTTAATCACACAAAAGCACACAAGAGCAAGAACATGTGTGCACATGTACACATAACAAAAAAATTTAGTTTTACAAACCTATGTACTTGAAGGTTTTAGAATCCATCTTCTATTTGGAGTAAAAGGTTAATAAGCTTATTCATTGTACAGTTTTCTTTTATATTCACCAATTCTGTTGGTTAACAGGCCTGTGCTGACTTTTGTGCAGTTTCTATTCCTTACCTGTTCACTCTCAAAAACTAATTTCTAACATAGACAACAACCGTAGGTATTGTTCCAAAAACTGTATTATAATATCAACATTATACCTTTTAGCATGTCTGTGCCATTTGTATCTTATCCCACTGGATTAATCCTAACTTGTTCAGTTTGACAGTGACTGATGACCTGAAATACATACTATCAATACATCCAATAAATGTTTACTGAGAAACAACTATAGACATTTATCATTTTAAGCACCAAAGGATATTAGCAGTAAACAGACAAAAATCCTGTCCTGGGCTGGGGTTTGTACCTCAGTGGTAGCGTGTGCCTACCTCTGGCCCTGGGTTTGACCCATACGCCACGAAAATCAGAATTCTGTCAAAGTAGTATTTCAGTTTTAGAGGAGAAACCATATAAGACCATAATAAACACTACATGGTTTAAAAGTAAAAGGAGAAGATATGCACAGAGCAGGGGCACACTGAGCCTCAGGGGAAAGGAGCTCCAGACCAGACAGGTAGCCTAAGATCACCCTACCACAGTACTCAACAAAGAAAATAAGGAAAACTGCCAGAAAGGATTCTACAGGGAACAAAAAGTAAATACAGAGGACTGGGATGTGAGCCAGTGCAAAGGCCTGGCAACAGTGTGAATGCAGAAGCTAGGCTGCATCAGGAAAGTAGAGTAATGACACTGAAGTCAATGAGGTAAAGAGATGCCAGATTATGGAAGTCTTTGCATGGCCTTAGTCAGACTTTGGTTGTGTTTTGAATAGGATTAGGGGAGCAATAAATGGTTTTGAGAAAGGGACTGACTTGGTCTGATTCTATTTTAGCAGGACTGTTCCAACTTGTTATTTTGAAAATACTGTAAGAACGGGAGTATAAATGGAGTTTACTGAAACAATCTGGGGTAACACAGCAGCAGCAGTGCAGGTGATGAAAGGTTATTCAGTTCTACAGCATGAGGATTTCCAAGCAGACCAAGTGCACACAAGAAAGGAGCCAAGATCATCTCAAGTGGTCTGAACTGAGCACCTGCACGATGGAAATGCCACCAGCTGACCAGCTGTGTTATACAGAGAACACCAAGGAGCTCGGGAAGGCTACATGTGAGACGTCTGTTAAGATATCCAAGTGGATGCCAAGAAGGCAGCTGTATATATGAAGTCAGTACAGAGAAAGGTTCAAGCTGGTAGAAGAAGCACAAATGGTGGTATGTGTGTGAGTTAGGTTTATGACCTGAATGCCTTGGTCACTGATGACTGACAAATGTCACAGGATAAAGGAACAGGCACCAGAAAACCAACGAATACTGGACAATACATCTACAACTCCAGTGACCGCACTCCCAACCAAAGCTGAAACACTATGAGAACAAAGCATGTCTTCCAAACATTGCCCAGGGTGTGGACAGGAGGCATTCCATGGGATGTCAGTAAACCGTCCTCCCAAGTCACCTGAGAATGATGCTGACAGAAGGGGGAACAAGCGAGCATCTTCCTGTCAAGTAACTTTCTTCCCCGAGGGGACATTAACGTGTTGGCTTTATGTCTGGGGGATACAGTACCACGTTGTGTGATACAGAAAGACTGTGCAATAACTAATGTGGACTAACTCCACACAAGTATCTGGTACCTTTTTATAAGCTAGGCACTCTATGGCTTTAGCTAAAGTACTAAAATACTACGCACATCTCAGAGAATCCAGAAACTTCTTAGAGTGAAAAACCATTAAGACAGGACGAAACATTTTCTTTTTAATCAATAAATAACCAAACTCATTTCAGTAATTTGTTACAGAAATAAATCTTCTAATATGACTGAAAATAGTTTTTAAAAAACTAATATGACTGAAAATTTTTATTTGGGAATTTGTGTGCTACAAAGCACTTTCATTAAAATCACTTAATATTTACAAGAATTATTTAAATTAGTCTGACTCTCATAAAAAGAGTGCTATATGGAAATCACGATCTAATTGTACTGTATATCTAAATATATGTCACCGAATCTCTGCGTATTCCACCTTTAAGAAACATAAAGGACAAAGTAGAAGGCTAT